CCCAAATTACATCAACACAGTAGAATAAGAGACTGATTTTCTCAAGCTTATCATCCTCTCTAAACATACTCACTTCAACCAATGAAAGTAAAATGTCACATTTGTATTTGCATTGTTATTTGAGAGAAACTGCGCAGACATATATTGATCATTTTTATTTTTCTTAAGTAAATGGACAATTATGCTGCTTAGCTTACTTGGAATGTCGGGCATAATTTTGTTTCTTATTTCATTTTGTTGTTGTGCTGGGAGTAGGATCCATGCCTATGCCTACCAGGCAAATACTCTATCTCTGAGGTGCAGCTCTCATTTTTTGTTTCTGATGGAATTCTAGGAATTCGTTTTTTATATTGTGGGGTTTAACCTTTGATAGGATCCATATCCCCGTGTCTTTTAAATTCCTCCCCATATTTCTCATCTTTCTGTTGATGGTATGTTTAACGTATGTTAAAAATTCTTGAAAAGACTATGTCCTGATAAAATAGGAAACTATAGTAGGTGGGAATGAGAAAAATCCCTCTCTTATTTCCTCTTTGCTCCAGGTCACATTGAAACTGTGAGCACTATTGTCCTTCAGAGATTCTGTGGGACGTAGTATTGTCAACATAATAAAAGTACAGACAGAACTCAAAATACTCTTACATCTAGATGGTTCACTGCAAAGTATCAAGGAGCTGGTTTGAATTGATTTAGTTTTTGCCATAATAGACATATTGCTCTTAACTCATACAAATATAGTCAGAGTAACTTCAGCTTTTACCCACAAGGGGACAATAAAGACTTGCTAGTATTCTGCCACAGACATTAGAACCCAGACTGTTAAAACCAAACAGGCATGTAGAAAGTGCCTAGCTAGTCCACCCTTCCCTTATTTCATATACAAGGAAAATGAACACTGGAGCAGTTCAACAGTTTGTTCAAGATCACAGAGACCCTGTTTCCAAGACACTTTCCCATTTACAGTACCATGGCTTGGTTCAAATAACTCAAACTACAAACACTCTTTTTTTCTGATTTGTAAAAATCGTTTTACCTTTTTTGTTGAGGCAAAGTTCACAAGTAGGATAATTAAAATATACAGTTCATTTATATTTAGTATCTTCACAGTGTTATAGAGACACATATTTTCCCCAACATAAATCCAATCCTGACATTCAATGGATAATGTATCTAATAATTATATAACCTTGCTAGACTTATTTTTTAACCTAAGAAAGTGATGCCTTTCTTATACAGTTGGTGTGAGGATTAATAAAAATGATAGGCACAAGCCATATCCTTATCCTTCGAGATAGTAATCTGAATCGGGTATTGTAATACATGATGAAATCCTAGCACTTAGGAAGTTGAGGCAGGAAGATAATGGGTATAGGACAAGCCTGAGCTGAATAGTAAAACTTCTATTTAAAGATCCAAACCAAAAAAAAAAAAAAAAAAACTGGACTTCTGGAGCTCTGCCCAGTGCTTGGCTGTGGATCTCTGATCTGCTTAGATATTGGGTGAAGGCTCTATGCTGACAATTAGGGCAGTTACCAATCTGATTACAGGGGAAGGCTAGTTCAGGCAACTACTATTGCAAGGAATCTTGGTGGGCTCCCAGGAGCCTCCCTGGAATCAGGTTTCTCCTTAACCTCCCCCCCAATTTCCCCTTCTATGAAGCTATTTCCCTCATCACTCTCTCACTCTATACCACCCACAACTTGACCATCTTGATCTGTCATATTCCCATCCCCTATCCCCTCCCCTCTACTCTCCCCTGGCCCCAGTTTATCTAGGAGATCCCATCCACTTTCTCTGCCCAGGGAGACCCATGATCCCTCTTAGGATCCTCCTTGTTACCTAGCTTCTCTGGGGCTAAGGATTGTAGTCTGGTTATCCTTTGCTTCTTTGCTTTACATTTAATATCCACTTATGAGTGAGTACATACTGTGTTTGTCTTGGTTACCTCACTCAGGATGATTTTTTTTTTGTTTAGTTCCATCCATCTGCCTGCAAATTTCATGATGTCACCGTTTCCCCTCCCCTCCACTGAGTAAATGCCACATTTTCTTTTTTTTAACAAAGATTCATTTATTTATTACATATACTGTGTTCTGCCTGCATGTATCCCTGCAGGCCAGAAGAAAGCACCAGATCTCATTATAGATGGTTGTGGGTCACCATATGGAAGCTGAGAATTGAACTCAGGACCTCTGGAAGAATAGCCAGTGCTCTTAACCTCTGAACTATCTCTCCATCCCAATATACCACATATTCTTTTTCCAGTCTTTGGTTGAGGGGCATCTAGGTTGTTTCCGGGTTCCGGCTATTACGAACAATGCTGCTATGAACGTAGTTGAGCAAGTGTCCTTGGGGTATGGTTGAACATCCTTTTGGTATGTGCCTGAGTGTGATATTGCTGGATGTTAATGTAGATTGATTCCCAATTTTATGAGAAACTGCCATACTCATTTCCAAAGTGTCTGAACAGGTTTGCATTCCCACAACTGAGACACCCAGCCTTGTGGACTGAAAAACTACTGGATTCTTGCTTTGCATTGGGAGCCATTGTTAGACCAGCAGGGCCATAGCCTGATGCGAGATGTCATTCTGTAAATATGTTTCTCTTATTGGTTAATGAATAAAAACACTGTTGTCCAATAGGAAAGCAAGATAGGTGGGGCTAGGACACAAGGAGGATTCCAGGAAGTAGTAGGGAGGAGATCCAAGATGGAAGACGGACATAGCAGAACGCCGGCCCCTCTCTCCAGTTAAGATGAGACCACGTGAAAATACTTATATTAATAGAAATGGGTTAATCATTATGACAGAGCTAGCCGATAACAAATTAGTACCTGGCCAATAGCTTTATATCTAATACAGAGTCTCTCTGTGTTATTTGGGGTTGGCGTGGTGGTGGGACCAGACCAGAGAGAAAACTATTAGTAACAATAGCCTGTAAGCCACTCTAAGAAATCCTAAATATGTTCATTAGGCAAGAGCAGAAAACAGGAGGCATTTAAATAGAAAGAAGGATAATATAAATATTTTCTATTTAATGCTATGAAGCATCAAAAATTTTGAAGACTTTAAAATCCATTAGAGCTAATATACACATTAAGTAAACTTTCAGAATATTAAACACATAAAAATGAGTTGTACTCCTATACACTGATACTGAATCATCTATAACTGAAATTATTTAAGTCAATTCCATTGATTTATTTTTATTTTGTATGTATAGGTGTTTTATCTATTTGTATGTCTGTGCAACGCTTGGATGCCTGGTACCTGTGGATGCCAGAAGAGGGTATTATATCCCCCAAAAGTGGAGTTACAGATGGTTATGTGCCATGATGTGGGTGCTGGGAATCAAATTCAGGTCCTCTGGAAGGTCAGCAAGTGATCTTAATTGCTGCACTATCTCCAGTTTTGATTCCATTTATAATAACAGCTGAAGAAGAAATTACTTAGAAATTTAGCAAGAAAGAAAAAGGCTTATATGCAAAAAAATACAAAGGCATGTTGATAGGAATTAAAGATGACCTAAATAAATATAAAGGCAACTTATAAAGTGAAAAGGAATATTTAAAAACCATTTTTATGCTACAGTATTGATAATGTAAAATATATAAAACATTAGTTTTACATAATAATTGGTGATTAACATGAACTCACAAGGACTGAAGCAGCAAGCACAGGGCTTATATAGGTTTGCACCAGGTTCTCTGCACATATACATAGTTACATATAATATAAAATTATATATATATAAAGTAGCTTTTGGCTTAGTGTTTGTATGGGACTCCTGAGTGTGTGAATGAATGAGTTTGATTCTTGTGGCTTATCTTGGGATCTTTTTCTTCTGTTGGGTTGCCTTGTCCAGCTTCAATTTGATGGTTTTTGTTTTATCCTATTATATTTTATTATGTCATATCTGATTGTTCTATCTTAGCACCCTGTTCTTTTCTAATGAGAGACAGATGGGAGGGGAGGGAACTAGGAAGAGTAGAGGGAGAAACTGTAATCTATATAATTTATATGAGAAAAGAATCTATGGAAAGTTTTTTTTTTTTAAAAAATGATAGGCAAACATTGATGACCCAACTTAAAAATAGGCAAACTACTGAATAAGTATTAAGCATTTCCTAAAGATATGCAAGTGTTCAATAAGCACAAGCATGGGCATCTTTAAGTCTAATGTTAGTTATCAGGAAAATGCAGTCAAAACCTTTATGAGATTATGTCTCTCAAAAATTTGAAGTACAAGTGTTAATGAGAACATGGAGAAATTGGAATCTTCTTATAGAATGTGGAAGAAAAATAGGTTTGACAGTTTCTCAAAAAGTTATGCATAAAATGAGCACATACCTCTGCAGCACTACTTCCACCTGATTCTGAAATGACCCCCATGGGAAGTCCCCCTCAGCACTGTCCCCCTCCCTGCCAACCTGATCACTCATGATTCCATCCTCACTGACCCACAGTCCACTCACAAAATCTCTTCTATTTCTCCTTCCCAGGGAGATGTGGGCATTCTCCTATGAGCCCTCCTTGTTTCCTATTCTCTAAGGTCTGTGGATTGTAGCCTGGTTATTCTTTGCTTTACATATAATATCCACTTATGAGGGAGTACATACCATGTTTGTCTTTCTGAATCTGGGTTACCTCATTCAGGTTGCTTTATTCCCCTAGTTCTATCCATCTGCCTGCAAGTTTCCTGAGGTCCTTGTTTTTAACAGCTTAGTAATATTCCATTGTGTAAATGTACTACATGTTTTTTTTTTTTTAATCCCTTCCTTGCTTGAGGGACATCTAGGTTGTTTCCAGGCTCTAGCTATTATGAATTATGCTGCTATGAGCATAATTGAGGAAGTGTCTTTGTGGTGTGATTGAGCATCATTTGGATGCCCAAAGATCAGTATAACTCTGGGTCTTGTGGTAGATTGCTTCCCAGTTAACTTCCCAGTTAACTAGCTATAACAATAGTTTAAACTTATTTGTATAAATATTTTACTTTGGTGCTCACTTTGACAGCATATATACTAAAACTGGAATAATACAGAGACGATAAGCCTGGTCTGTTACCCAAGGATGACATGCAAATTCATGTTTCATAGTTTTCTAAAACAGACTTTATTTAAAAATGTCATAATGATATCTAATACTTTGCATATTATTTTTAAAATTTTTCTAGAAGCACAAGGCATACGGGAGGTAAACTGACTGTGACTTTGTCTTGTAAGAGACACTGATTAAATGTTAGAATAACATGATAAATCAAATTTCAGCAAAATCTTTAACTGCATTAAGACTCAAAATTCAGTGATGCATTTATTTAGATACATGCATCCTTGTAAGGTTACATTTTCAGCTAGGACATCCATTCAAGACAGGTGTTGATTTAAAATGAACTCAGGATTCTAGAATAGTAAAGCATAGTTTCATAGTTAATGAAGCATAGTCAGCCATACTGACCTCACTAAAATACTAATAATAACATGTTTAAAATATGAGATACATTCTATAACTATCAGAGAATATATCTAATAATTTCATATTTATTTCACTTTAAAATAGTATATATTAGTTAGTGTAGTAGAACATGGATATGCTGTTTATCATCAAGATTAGTGAGAAATATTTTAATGTATCTTATAAGATCACACACAGAAAATCCCAAATTTTAATGTAAATGTAAGTCATCCTGGGATATATATTGCTAAGATTTGTTTTCTGCTCAGCTGTTTATCCTCACACCACATTTGAAAGCAGCAATGTCATGTTTGGTAGAGTTGCACAATTAAAAGTATGTTTGGGGACTGCTGAAAATAAACGAGCTGACCACAGTTCTTTGCTTCTCTCAGTAGTATTGGAAGGAACTGAGCTACAGTCATTGCTTTTCTACTTCTCAACTGCAGTAGTTTGGATGAGTAATGTTCATCATAGGCTCAGGTATTTGAACATTTAGTTTCCAGATGGTGGTGCTATTTGGGGAATTGTAGGTGCCTCAGCCTTACTTGAGAAAGTCATTGATAGGGAGCTTTGAGATTATATAGCCTCGCTCTACTTCCAGCCTACTCTCTCTGCTCCATGCTTGTGGTAAACAATCTGAGTTTGAAGCTTTCCGATCTGCTTGCCATGCCTTCTGTCTACAGCTATGCTGCCCCTACCGTTACAAACTCTAAACCTCTGGAACCCAAGCCAAACAAACCCTTCCTTCTATAACTTGCCATGGTCAGGGTATTTTAGCACAGCAACAGAAAAGTAACACTCTGACATACGGGTGCCATAGCCGTTCCCTGAGCTGGGACAAGATCAACATCCCTGCGTGGGAATAGAAAGAACTGAAAAGGGCACAGAGTCCGGCAAAGGGCTGGGGATAACTAACTTCTTATAGAACTAAGGTGTGATAAGATGTGCATAGAATCTTCTAGAGTACTCAGTAAAGTACAGTTATTATAGTTGGAAATGGTTGCCTATGGAATGGGCTGTGACTATCTTCAATTACTTTGAGTTTTCTTTAACACTGAGACAAATAACCATCAAATATTACTATGTCAGAGTGTGACTAAATTTTTTTCAGCTGAGAAAAATACCAAAACTGCCTAAAACCACTTCAGCTATTAAAAAGAAACACACATCCATACACACAAATTCAGTAAGCACCCACCAAACGCCTTCCTTTGAGATATAGCATTTACTTGTGTTTTCCCAGGAAAGCTAGGTGAAAAAAAATATATACTGGTATACTTACTCTACAGAATTATTTATGTTTTCACATAAGAAATAGAGACTACTGAAATGACAAACTTGTTTTTAAAATATTATGTAAGGCTCTCTTTCTAGCAATAATAAACTGAGCTACTTGTAGCCAGCAATGCTGTCTTCATATAGCATTATTTTGTTTTGTTTGTGCTGTCTGTGCAACAGCTCTGGCTGTTCTGGAACTCACTTTTTAGAACAGGTGGCCTTGAACTCACAGAGATCCACCTTCCTCGGCCTCCTGTGTGCTGGGACTAAAGGCGTGTGCCACCATGTGCCCAGTTAGCATTATTCTTAAAGTTTTTAACTTTGCTATTATTGTATGTGTGTTCATAATGTGTGTCAGAGTGTGCACACTTATGTGACATGGTGCACATACGTCAGAGGACAACTTTGTGGAGTCAGTTGTCTGCCCTCTTCCACCTTCATGTGGGAACTAGGGATGGAACTTGGATCATTATTAGGCTTGCACACTAAATGGATTCACTTGTCAAGTTATTGTATTGGACCCTTTTTAACTTTTTCCATTTTTACATTATTAATGTGTTTATTGAATAATGTGTGAGTGTGAGTATGTGCATATGACACAACATGCCTATGGAGACTAGAGGACAATATTAGTTCTTGGTATAGGATGATACTTAAGTTACATTCTCATTTATTTTTGTTAATGTGGACAAGTCTTATTACCCTTAATTTAAGAAAGTTGTTCTGCATGTGACTTTGTTCCTCTATTAGGATTCTAATAAGCTGTGAATTGTCAAGTGCTAATTATATTGTTTTCGGGACTGAAACCCGTACAATATAACTTTGTGGTTTTCCTTTTTGGTGTTTTCAAGACAGTGCTTCTCACAATACAGTGTCAATGGAGCTTGTTAATTTTCACGTCAGTTAGCAAAACAGTTCAAGGCTTTTAAGCATTTTTTAATGCTAAGCACCATAGCACATCAGGTCTCTATTTCTGTGCATATGCACTTGCATTTCTATCTTATTTTATGGGACCCTTTGTTTCCTTTGCTTCTCATATTTAGCCTTGACCGAAAGAGGCAGGCTGAATAGCTCGTGTTTACATAAATACTGAGCCACATGCCTTTTGACTCCTCAAATGACTAAGTGGGTAGAAGCAAGAACATGCATTGTGCCAGTGTATGCAATAAATGCTGTCACATGTAAGGCAAGAAGCAGGGTGACATAATGCAAGTCACAAGTTGTCAAGAACTCTAAATTGAAGTTTTGTTTTCATCAAGGTCCCAGAAAACCAAAGCCACATGAAGTCATGACCCTTACCCCACTGCCTCTCCCACATATTGAAAGGAGGGATCTGATACTCATTGCAGCAAACCAACCAGATTGGTTTTTCATGCTCCCTGCCTCCACTCTAGTCCACTCTGGAAGACCCCTCGGCTGTACCTGAAGGTGAGAAAAATCTTTGAGTGTAAGGCCATGTCTGTGTCATCTTTCTACCCACAGAGTCCCTGAACATGAACCTCCCAGGCTTTAGTGAAAAGCTTGTTTTCTCAATGAATGTATACAGAATGGATGCATTTCCCTTTGAAAAAAAGGGGGGCAGATTCCACACACAATAAAACATCAGTCAATACTGACCCTGGTGTTGTAAGAACATGTTTCTTGTTTATACTGCTGTATTTTAATTGTTAGCTCATCTGAGCACAAAGAGAGCTCTTTCAGTTCAGAGAAAGAAGGTTTATGGTGTGTGGGAGAGCTAAGAACAATGAGCTCAATTGATAAACTAGAGATGCTCTCAGCTTCTAAGAGCCAGACAACTCCATCTATACATCCTTCCCAGAGGGCAGAACTAAATATGGACAGATGGAAAACACAGCTTTCTTGGGAACTGGCTTTTGCTCCTCTGAGGCAAAAATACATTCAGTCTGTAGCACCCTCAGTCCATTCTCCAAAATGTGGTGCTGTGTCCTTGTTTCCAGTGTCTAAAAATAAATCTAATATTTTTTTTATTCTCTTTGTCTTAAAGTCATTCGAGCAGACTTACTTGGGGAATATTAATTGTGGTGAGGCAGAAATCAGGAGAGTACAACTGAACCACTTCCAAATGAAGCGCCTTAAATGATAGCTAACATGTTGCCTACAGCCAAAGTCTCCTTTCTCATGTTCCTTGTCAGACACAAGTATATAGCTACAGACAAATCTATAGCTAATTTTAAGTTAGCTTTCTTCAGGCTGGTCATCAGAGCACTGTCTATGTTATGTTGGGTGAGCTCATGACCTAAGCTCTCCACGGTAGTGGGTATCATTAATTCATTTTAAATCCTGAGCTGCCACAGCATGTTTAACTTATACTGTCCTCATTATATCATCCCATGTCTATAGACGTTCAATTGCAAACCACTCATTTAGTACTTCCCAAGTGAAACTATGTATTATTCACTTGGGAAGTACCAGGATATTTTTATTGGACAGCTAGACAATTTTGAGAGAAGATAAAAAATAATTTAATACTAAATACAATAGTGCCCGAGCACCACAATGACACTGGAAAAGTAAACCTTACTGACTCAGGGTGAGCAGAACACTCTGAAACCCAAGAAAAAATAAACCATTAAACAGAAAATGAACTGGTATAGAGACCTGAGTTCATCCCAGCATGGTAGCACACACCTTAATTCCAGCACCCTGAAGGCAGAGGCAGGCAGATCTCTATGAGTTCAAGGCCACCCTGCTCTACATTGAGAGTTCCAGGAGGACAACCAAGGATCATAGTGAAACCCTGCCTCAAGAAAACATATTTAAGCATTGATTTGGGTTTCTTTAGGTAAATTGCTGTTCATTTTGCATGTATTTCTTAGTTTCTTTAGGTATAAAAAAGAAAGAATGTATGTATCTATTATATTTTTTCACAGAAATAGTATAAAAAATAACTACATGGCCTGAAAAATATATGACTACCTTGAGCTAGCTGTAATTAAGTTACTATTGGTGAGGTCAAACAGAACAATTCACTCAAAGGACACAGTGTTTGATTGAGAACATTCTTAATTTTATTTTCTTTAATTTTATAAAATACATTTTGTAAGATGAGTTTCTAAAAGTTTATTCTTTATGTTGTTAAAATCAAAACTCTCTATCAGAAATGAAGGAAACACTTGCAGTTGATTAACTCTCTTTGTATGCGTATGTGTATGTGTGTGTATGTATGTATGTATGTGAGGTCTTCAGGGAACAGTTGGTTATCTGTTATGTTATTAAATAAAAACAAAATAAAAGATATAGATTATTTTACTTTCCTTGATCTTGATTGGTTTCTTACATATCCCTTCCCCTCTCCTCACTCTTGTGTATCGTGCTAGTTTATCCTATATCCTGGCCCAAGAACAAGTCTCACTGTCTTCTTCTAAAGTCCTTCACCATGGCGGAAACCACTTTGGGGAATAAGAATGACAAAAATCTATGATACAAGATGTATAATAGCCTTTCCTTCAATAAAAACAGACTGGAGATTTTTTTGAACCCCAAAGTTAATACATACAGGATAATCTTGAAATCTGGGAGTTCTTCCGGTTACAAATTCTTTCTGTCTGTCCTCTTCCTGTCTCCAGATCTCCATGGAAGCTAACCAAATGAACAGGTGACAGATGGTACAATCTATTATGTGACCTACATATACCAAGAGACAATAACTTCTATGCTAAACCTAATTGACAAAATGCCAAGATAACATTAACAAGTAAAATCATCTGTCATTTGTTAGAAAAAAACTATTGGACAGGTAATTCAAATTGAGGTTCAAATTTACCAAGCCTATTTCTACAATGGCAGAATGTTTGTGGAAAATCCAAATAAATTCATGGGACTAGACAATTTCACATATTTTGTGATGCTTAGTGTTCAGTTTTCCTTTTTTCCCCCCCCCCAAAAAAAAAAACAATAATCAAAAATCATTCTCCATCCCTTTCTAATTCCAAATAAGAGAGAGTTGAACAATTGGAAAATGAATCATTATCAAACTAATCAAGATCTTCAAATCACCTGCTATGAGTGAATGAATAAAACCCCAGGAAAAGAGCACCATTGTGAAGATATGGCAGAGGCCAGAGGACACAATTAATTGACAGAAAAAAACAGATATGCTATCCAAAGAGTTAACTATCTTGCATCTACCCGAAGGCCATCTTAAGTTATACCTTTAGCCTCCACCAACTGCTGCTCTTAAGTCACAGTCTTATTTCATGAAAGCTCGTTTCCTTCTATTCTCAGCTCCTTGGAAACCACAGGGTTGTCATGGTAGCTGTTATCAAGGAGAAGGGAGTGAGAAGATCCTGACAACACTGTTTCTCTTCCTAATGAAGTGTAAGGGCAGATTTGCTCCCTTTGTCTACACAGACACTGTGCTCCCTTATGCAGTAAGTAAGGCTGCCTGAGTTAGGGTTTCAATAGTCCATTGCCATTGGGGTCAGAGCTCTCTTTCTAAGGGTGAAAGATCCTTGCTTTGATCCCTGTCTCCCAGCTGCAGGAGGCAGATTTGGGCAAATGCTATTGCTTTGCTAGCATTCTTTCGTTTGCTTCTGTCTTCAGTGGAAATAGGAAGATAAGAGTGAGTTCTTGGTTTCGTGCATCAAGGAGAATAATATATTTGGCTCCTATTGATGGCAAGGAGACCAAGGACATTCCTGTGCTCTCTGTGAGAATCTTTCTTTCCACTTTGTTTTTCTCAATGGAAATGCCCTTTGAGAAGGAAGTACATCCTGGACTTCAGGAGATGCTCCCAAATTGACTTAGAGTTTTCAGTCCTCTATGACTTGCAGCTGGAGAATCATCTTCTCAGGCATTTCCCACTTCTAGCAGGAAGCGGCTGTGGAGCAAAATGACTAAAAGAGGTACATAAGAGGGAGAGTCCACAGAGAGAGATTAATCACTGCAAGACTCTCCTTTCTTGTTATACTCATCAAGTAAGAAGAGGGCCAATCAGTGGCAAAGGCAGAGTTAAGATAAGAGACACAACACTTTAGGCTGTGTGGTTAGAGCCTCGCTATTTGACAGAAGGGAGTTTCTACAGGAGATCAGAATTTGGTGCCTCGGCCCATGAGTTTAAGGACAGCAAAGTTGTAAGTGGCAGCAATCATGAAGGTGAGCTGTAGGGAACAGAAGAGAGAAAATGAGTGAGGGTAGAAATTTTTACGAATGAGGGTGAGTTGAAACAAAATCACAACCAAATAAAAGGAAATTGTCTGTCTGAAAAAAAAAAAAAAAAAACCTAAAATGCACATCCTGTGGATTTTTCTATAAATGTGAACAGAAATCTTCTATCACACACTTAGACAACAGCCCATTCCCAGATAACCTAATCAATAAGGATGTATTCCACAGCTAGGTTCTGCTAATCACTGACATTTCCTTAAGGAAATTAACTATGTCTGTGCTCTGTCACATCAGCATGTCTAAGTGACTTGAGGTCGCAAAGTGTTGCTGTAGACACACAGCTACTTCATGCAGCATAGCCCTCCTATCTCTTATGTGTCAACGGATTTTACAAAGTAGAAGTGAGGTGGCTTTTTGTGAAAGCCTCCAGGTACTGAGGAGGATTCTGTGAGATCCTCCTTGGAGTTAACTGCAACCTCAGAGATTTGAGGTAAACCACTTTGACTTTAGTGTCAGGAAGAGCACACTGCTTTGGTACTATACTAATACTAGCTGCAGGACCTGGGCATAGGATTGCAGCATATGCATAATAATTCTAATGTCAGGAGGACCCTCCAGTTTCCCTGAGGGTAATTAAATCCACTAGAGATTATCTAAGATGTTTATACTATACGGGATCCTGGGACAAAGCAAATTGAGTTTAGTAACAATTCCATGTTCTTGTCAGTGCCTTGACATCCCATGGAAGAAATATGGAGTCCTACACCTTGCTGTCCCTTCTCATAACTTCTTTCCAGCTTTTCCAAATTTGAAGGAGTCTCTCTAGTATTCTCAGTCTGATGCCACTCAAGCTTTCCCTGGACCACGTATTATCTAATATTATTTTAAAACAACTTACCAGGGAAACTAGTGTGGCTGCAGCACCCACAAAGGCAGCAATAAACAGGTGGAAGGTCATTTGGAACTGCAGGAAAATGTGTGCAAGAGAATTATTTCTTGTAACAGGAAATAAAAGCAGAATCTACTATAAATAGTGAATGCAGTTTTCTGGATGGGTTGCTATCTCACCTGTATGTTAATTTTGTGTCTCTAACTAAATTTTCACTTCCCTAAGTGTCAACCTCCCATTTGCCACCGTCAATCATAGTACCTTACACCTGCAGTATCCCAAAGGCTCAGAAAAGATACTAATGATCCCAAATAATTAACTGTTTCCTATAGTTGTACCTAGGATCCTGAATTTTAAAGTCAATACTTCCTTTACAAAGATGATGTTTCTCTGACTTCCTCCCCAGGATTTGCTTTTATCCCTTGCCTCTATGACACATATCTTTTTTTTTTTCAATTGTACTTATTTCACCTCTCATTGAAGATGAAGGAGTTCCAAATGTAAAGTGTTATACAGAGCCCATGTGTGTCTTTGCTCACAGCCCATTCTCTTGACAAGTTTTTAACCAAAATGAAGGTTTTTCCATTTGGGAAATTTTACTAAAGCTATCCATTTTACCTTTAAGGAGGTGAGTTTGGGAAATTAAGATTTCTGATGCAACTTTGAGGAAAATAGGTACTTTTACTTTTAATCAGTATACTCTTGACTCAGGCACACTTAACCATCATTTCGTAGCAGGGATATCTGCTTATTCAAAGTCCAACAAGGAGATACTATCATACTTGAAATTGAAGGTCATGAGGAGAAACTTCTGTTATGGGATTGAAATTCTGTGTTTTAAGCCAATTTATTTCAAAATAACCCTAATCATTCACTTACCTCAGCTGTTTTGCAGATGGACAGAAGGTTGGAGCCACAAACCTTGCCAGGGAAAGCATTCCATGGCAGCACACCTAAGTGCAAAAATCAAGCAGAATAAACGTCTTAGTGCTAGAGTGATCTCCACAAGCAAAGTCAACCTCATAATGCTAAGTGATCTCCACAAGCAGAGTAAACTCCAAAAGAGCAATCTCCACAAGCCTTCATGTAGAGACTTGCTCCAAAGTCCTTTTACCTTCCCTATCCTGGCAGTAAACCTGATGTCTTCTAAGCTTTACATAAAAGCAAAGGTGGTATTGAATAATGGTGAAATCTTATAGTATTGAAATGTGTTGCTTTGGGGGTTGGTAAGAGCAGTCAATCATAGAAAAAAAGCAAGAACAGCAAACAAACAAACACTCCCATAATTCCCATGTTCACTTTCAAGGGATCCTCCATTTCAGAGGAAAGAAATTAGTAAACTAACATGCATTTATTCATAATCTTATATCTTTCAATAATCACCATCCTCCTTGCCTTAAGACAAAAACAAGTACATCTTGCTTTTATAGATGATAGGAAATCTAAGGCTCCCACATTCAACTCACCGTACATTCTGGCATCAGCGCAGAGAGTGCCTATACTGGCAGAGGTCTTGCTAGGGAAGGCAATAGACTGACAGGTGGTCCAGGTATTGAAGTAAATGTACACAGGCACAGCAGAGCAGGCAAACACCAGGAGCCATACAACAGTCAGGGCATAGGTGATGCCCACAAACTAAAACAATTGACATGGGATGGTAAAAAATCAGCACCAACATACATAGTTTGGAATACAAACTGGAAGATCCTGGAGTGGCATGTGCCAGTAAAGTCAGATTCCAGGCATCTCCCTCAAATGAAATTATTGAGCAGGGCAGTTCTGCGAAGTATCATTGGCAGTGTCTCTTAGAGAACTGGCCCCAAGTGTGATTGATGGAGGGTAGGGGGAATGGATAGGAGTTGGAGTGAGGCGGATCCCTGGGTTAGAGGGGTTTCAGGGGATTTGGAGGGCAGAGAAGGTATAAAAAAGTAAAAATAAAAAAGTCCTGAAAGAAAGTTGTGCCATTTTGTGCCTTAGGCTGAGCTTACAAGATGTTCTTTGCCACAGGAGTTTTGTTCCCTAGTCACTGAACAATGCCAATAGGAGATTTAAATTTAAGATCTAAAACCATTCTAAGCTAACTGCTGGTCACAAAAAGTCATCACACAACACACACATGTTCAAAACCCCAAAAGATCTTTAACTATGGAGGTTTAAATCCAATGCATGCCTTTCTAAAACATGGCTAGTCCAAAGATAAATGGGAAATATGCAGATCTAGCCTAATTCTCTCTAGGACCCCCAAAAGTATAGGATCCAAGAATACTGTGACTTGGAATCAGTACTTTAATTTCTATGGTCCACCCTCCATTTCAGGTTACGTGTCTAAGTCTCAACCCCATGACTAGCATTTTAGATTATTATATAGTCTGGGCCACTCTTATAGTCTCTACTAGGAACAAAATAAAGAGATGCCAACAGATGGGTTAGAAATGGTCTTATTATAAAAAAAAGCATCATATAAAATTCATGTGTTTCAGTTTGAGATGAAATTTTCTAGGGAACCTTTGAGAGGTGAGGCTAAGCAGGCCAGGCACCACGTTCTTCCTGACCATATCGTTCGGCTGTAGCCATCGCTTCCTCATCCCAAAACCAGGCCTCTGGAGAGGACCCGACCTTGGGTGGGAACGAGGCTACAGACTCACGCCCAATTGTTTCCCACCCCTTGTTATTGCCACAAAATCCTGAGGATGATCACCTTGTCGGGATGTCCTAGCCATTTTCCCAAACAATGACACACCCGCTCCAAAGAATGAGCTTGATGTTGGCCTCTGGAACCCCTCCCCTTCTGGCCCCCTGTTACCGTTGCGCTCAGGCCCTTGCCGCAGATGGTGGTCTTGTAGTCGCCAAAGATCTGCCTGACTGCACCAGTGGTGTAGAAGCCCTCGGCCAGCAGGAGGGCCCCATAAAGGAAGAAGAAAGAGGCAGTTCCATAGATGACATACTGGAAAGCATGAATCCTGTATTGACAGAAGAGTCCAGACAACCTTGTTCAGAGGACACAGATCTTCTGTAAGTTAGGAAGGTACATGCATAAGTAGCTAGAGGTTCTTGAGAGGAAACTCTAGGTTTCTTCTGTGTTCCTTTGCCTTTTCTTCACTGAAGTAAATGAAGCCAGGCAGTAGCATGTGGGTAAAAGCATGTGTGCCTCTCTTCTCCCCCGATTCCTTCTTATCCTGAACCCTAGAGAACCAAGCTTGCCCTTCCTAAACTGATCCTTCAGAATTGCTACTCCACAGGAGAGATATGCTATACAAACCTGAAGAAAGCCCAACTTGCTCTAGGAGCAGGGAAGACTTATTACTAAGCCCAAGTACACAAAAACAGTGTGTCAGACCAAGACCAGGAACTCCACCCTACTCCATCATTGGATCTCCACCTGCTATTGTGGAGACAATTCCAGCAACACTGAACGTACCTAGTAGAAACGGGACCATGTGTGAGCAAACATGGATCAGTGAGAGGAGGCAGACCTCTTTACTGAACTTGACCTTATCCCTCACTTAGAGCTTCCAACATGGCATGGGGGATGTACACAGAGGGATGGTTAGGAAATCTAGCTGGCTCCACACTTGTCCCCTACTAGTTACTAAGGTGCTGATGAGTTTTGTACCCCCCAAGTTAGGGTGAGGGGGAAAAAAGACATGGGTGTGAGAGAGGGGAGGTACTTACACATTAATGAGATACTCATAGTCCTGGTAGTTTTTGGAGAAATAGGTCTCAATTAGCTTCTCTGTACCAGTGAGAGCTTCATGTCCACATCCACAGAACAGTGCCACTCCAAAGAAACACAATCCAGTGGCCACCAGGGAAGCAAAGGGGGCCCCTACCAGACATCTTGCACAGCACTCTAACAAGCCTAGGGAAGAGGAGGGGGAAGTCAGGTATGCATAATAGGTAACTGATCCACTCATATCCACTGTTGGGCCAAACAGCCCATGCTGCCAAGCTCAGAGAGTGGTTATCTTGGGAGTTCTAAAGGATAATCTACAGGTTTTAGCTTTTGGGATGTGACATTGACCCACAATCATTATTTTGTCCCATTATTAAAAATGAACACTTATCTTCAATACATAGAATATATGGGTGTTTAAAAGGAATCAAATAATTCAAGTGGCAATCCAGGAAGGTGGTAAGATTAGCTCCCCTTTTACTTTAATTATTTATCAACTGTGGAATAAATGTGTTCAGCACTGTATATAGGATATGAAAACAGAAAAGTACAAACTCTGCCAGGTTGGAGTCTTCAGTTTACTGAGGAAGAATGAATTCAGTAGGTATACTATTTTCCACCAGCAATTCCAGGAAACCAAGTAAATGGCTACAGAGAGTAAATACATTTTTGTCGCGCCCAACCTCGACCAGCAAGAAAGACACAACTCAGGGGAGATCTTCTTCTAGCAGTTTAATCAGGATCCTTGAATAAGCTTCTTCTTCTAACCCCAGGGAAATGCCCACACAGGCTTAAATCTCCTTGCGCTGACCAACCCCAATGAGCCACGTGAACCCTGCAGATAGACTGTTCTTATATGGAAGCAAGCAAGCTGAACAGGCTTAGCCAAATAAGGACTTGTTTATGACAGAGAGTGCTCACCATCAGGAAGGTGGAAGGCAGAAGCCAGCACCATCTTTAAGGCGCGGCACTTCGCAGCTCTCTACACATTTTGAATTTCAAAAGAAAGAGTACTGACCATAGACGTTAGTATTTTCAGACACAATTTGAACTGAAAGAGCACTCCAGGTGTAAGATACGATGGAAACTGCATGTTTCTGGATATTCCCACATATGATGTGTATTTGTTGCAAGGTATGCCAAATCCTTGCAAAGAAAGAAACTGGCATAGGACAAGGAAGATTGCTTTGCACATCACCACCATCATCAACATCCATTATCATCATCATGAATACAAATACAGATTTGGGGCTGGACAGATGTCTTTCTGGTTAAGAGTGCTTGCTGCTCTTTTAGAGAATCCATGTCAGACAGCTCACAACTGCCTATAACTTCAGCTTCAGAGCATTTGATACCCTAGTCTACAAAAATATACTTTAATGTAGGCTTGATTTTTTCCCCATGCTTTGCATGTTTTCTCCATACCACTGGAGCTTGCCCAGTTTCTGTACCCTCAAAATTACACTGAGATTTTGTTGGTACAGCCACAAAGAGACTTTCTGTAATGGACACAGCAGTTTTCTAGCATGGGATGTGGGCCAGAGGAACATGCAGGACCTTGGAATACAGTTGTCTTAGAATGCTAAGAATACCCAAAATCTCCAGACCAGGTACCTCTTAGCCCTGGGACAGTTTTGCTGAGAGACAAGACAAGTACACAAAGTAGTCACAGACTCTAGAAGTAACTATGGCCCAAATACTGGTGTTATGTGAAATGAAACTGATATGCCAAGCAGATGACTGACTAGACAGATAAACATGCGGTTCCTTCTGGCCTCTTGACCAGATCTGCAAAAGGTGGAAAAATGAAAATGTTAAGATCTTTAAATAGAATGTATATGCATATATAGATATATCAGATAGTATATGTAGACACAGTCTGTATTTAATATATGCACATATATATAATATATAAGCTATAACTGCACACATACATTTAGTAAAATATGCATATACATATATACATACACATATAGACTATTTGATTTTTATAATCTATTCTTATAGTAAATGTATGTACAGATAATCAGGAAACGTGACTGAGAAAATATTAGCTAGTAATAAGTATGTTGTAATTCCTTATCTCCTTATAGAATGAAAATTTTCTAAAGTTTGGACTTTCATATTCATGTATTTCTCCAAGCCAAGTTCAACTATCTATAACAGGGTACCAGCGGAAACATAAGTTCATTGACCGATCCCTTTAATATGAGCTCAGTTTTTATTAAAACCTCAGATTCTTAAAAATGTTGTGATTTCCACACAATGTCAACAGATGTTGAAAGATCAAATTATGTGTATCATGGAAAAGTTGGGACAGAGGCATTTGTGTCTTTTATCAGAACCATAGAATATGTAAGCCCTATTACCCACCCTTTACAGCCTTTCCTGGCCTTCAAAGAGTGTCTTCTTTGACATCCTTGTACATTGCATTAGAGATAAGGCTTAGAAGCCCAAGCCAAGGAATGTAGGAAACATTTGTAGCTGAGCTGGATCCCTTTCATTTTCCCTAAACTGAAGCACTCCACAAAAGGCTGTTCATTGGTCTGTAGTTGTGCTGCTGTGAGTTGATGCCAAGTTTACTCAACATGAACTTTGCAAGAGAGGATGTTCAATACCGACATATGATGTGTGTGCATATGCACACTTGCACAGATGTGTACAATACATGCAGAAAAGTGGACCAGTTGAAACTGATCACTGTACCCACACAATACTACATGTACTCAGGAAGTCAAGACAAAAAAAAAAAAAAAAATCTCGGAAGTAAACAGCACCACCATTTTCATTCTCTGCCCTTCTAACTCCTCTCCACCCTCAGACTATTAGACTCTTCTCATAGTAAAGAAGGTCTCTGAAGCCTAAGGTGGGGGAGGGGAGGCCAGTGACCCCACTGTTCCCTTTTTCTCTCTCAAAGGGTCAAGCTTTGGACACAGCCCTCTATAACTTGCCCAGACAAAGAAGCCTTGTTTTCTCCTGAGATCTCAGGAGCCTCATTGGTATTCTGCAAGGCCCCGCAGGCCCGGGGGTGGGGAGGGGGTCAGATCCAGTAAACAATGGCAGGACTGTTTATTTAGCCCAGGGTAAAGACAGCCATCTACCCTGGCAAGTGGTCATCCCGTCCCCATTGACTGACCCCAGCATTTTCAGCATGGGATGGCATAATGGTGAGGCAGGTGTGATCAGGAAATTGAGCTCTTGTCAGCCAAACAGAGAAAGCTGCTCAATACTTTAGCTGATGGATGCCCTTCTACATCATCTGTACTAAGGACAATTTTCCCCTCTTATCACCAAGTGATAAAACAAAGAATTATTGATCATCTTGGACATAGGATCATTTGATGGTCATCAAACTAACCAGAAAATGTCACATTCAGTGTTTTTACTGGGCGTCAAAACTTTGAGGGCAACTCTAAATCACCACCTGATACTGTATTTTTTACACCTGTTTGTTTCTGTTTTGTTAGCTCTCAGATAATAACTTAACGCCCTCTTTCTGCTCTACTGCTGTTCACAGCAAGGAGCAAGGCCACAGACTTTAGTGAGTCTCTCTCATGTGTGGAACCCAACACAAGGGACCTGAGATAACTCTACTGCTGTAAGGTTATAAAATATTTCAACAATATCAAAATAAGCATCAGATGTTAAATTCCTCAAAGTTCAGATGCAATGTTTGTTCTAAGTTCAGTGGAAGTACAGAATTTTGGCTAATCTGCCCAAGCAAATGCCAAAAGGTGAATTCCAACAGCGGAAACCTCAGAACATAAAAGAGACTATCTTTTCATCACAGTAGTTGACAGTCAAAGCATTCTGAATAAAAGGCCATTGGGTTCACTTTGATTTTGCACAATCTAAGAAATAAACTTGGGAAACAAGCGAGCAACAGCCTAAAACCATAAGCTCTCTGTTTCAGAATACCTCGGGGTTAACAGGGTTTGAATGTTAAAAGGAATTTTGTCATTTCCCAGCTAAGTATAAATTGTTATGTAGTAGAGTTAGTATAAAAGAATTACATAATACAACTGCTACTCAATGAGATTTAAATGCCTCATTTTGATGAGTGATCACAGAGAAAATTAATGACGCTTTCTTTTTCTTTGTGTTTGAGTGGCTTGAGGACACTAACATTAACCACATGACTAATAACATGCAGCAAGAAATAGAAAGAAATTAAGAGCCCAATTCTCTTTCCTCAGAAAACTTCCAATCTTATTTGGGAGAACAAATTTATTTCTTAAATTCAAAACCAAAGCTACTTATTATCCAGTGTTAAAATGGTTGTAAACAAATCCTGTGGTGAAACTATTAGTTCAGAAGACATTAGTTCAGAATTGGTTAATCTTCATATTCCCCCAAACAAGCATGACCAATCTGGAATAGAACCTCCCTTCTTATCATGTTCTCTGTCAGAGACCAACAGTACTATTTTGACTCTCAGTTTACGGCCCATCCCACTGACTGTCCTGATCCTGACTCAGTCTCTTTAAGCAAGAGCCAAGTGCTCCAACACCCTCCCTCCTTTCCCAAGCCCTAGGCACACCTCAAGGACTAGCTCCATGATGGAAATCCAGTTTGAATCTTGGAACTCATCAAAGGGAGGAGAGGAAGGGCTTTCATAGAAAGGAATGGGAGAAAGAGACCAATTGTACCCTGCACAATTCCCAGCTTGTCTCTTGAATCCAGCTGACAAAGGGAGAGATAGAAAAATGCTATACAATAGAACTAAACAACAGGCAAGCTCTTTGAGTGAGAAACCGGTCCCATCTCCCTAAGTCTCTAATCTGTACTGTAGTCTTCCCCTCCTCCCAGAATCCACCCCTTAACCTCAACTCACAAACAGAGGCTTCCTTGATCAGGGCCTATAGCCATTAACATGGCCAAGATTCTAGAATAGCTGTGACTGGTACCAGGGATAGATGGAAATCCATGGGTGGGGTTCTAGAATTAAAACAACAATTATAAGGAAGTGACAGAGACAGAGATATTTGCTTCTGGTCTCATATTGTTAGGACAAAGCCTTGCCTATGACTGTCTTTCTGTATGATATTAGCACTTAAACCACATTCAAAGGGGGCTTTGTAGGCATTGAGGCCTAAGGATTCAAGCCTGAATAACAGTCAAGTCATACGGACAAAGAAAAGAACTCCAACCTCTTTATTAGAAGGGTATTATTATCACTGCTGCTTCTATGAATGCTAACGCCTATTGCTATCACCACCAGGAACAGTACCTGGCCTGCTGTACTTCATATGTTCTTTTTCAGATATAGATTGAAACACACACACACACACACACACACACACACACACACAGAGAGAGAGAGAGAGAGAGGGGGGGGGGCATGCAATGCATGTACAAACATCTGTAGGCCCAAATACAAGCTAGGCTGTATTAAATCTGTCCCTTGATCACTGTCTCTACCCTCTACCTTGTCTAGTTGTGGGGAAATGAAGAGTAATCTGTCACTAGAGACAAGTGTAGCTGTAGCTGTACCTTATGCTACCAGATTACCCTCTTTCCTTAGTTAAAGTGTCAAGCTGACCTGTAGAATCTCACCCTCTTCCTTGGGATGTCATTGATTCTTTTTCAAAGCCTTGCATAGCAAAGAGCTCCAATTAAGAGTGAGAAATCACTCTTAATTATTTGGCAAAGGCTAAGGAAGGACTTGCTGAATCTTTGATGTAACTTTAACACTGGGTAAGGCCTGTGGATGATAAAAGTCTGTTCACTGACCATGACTTATGGCTTTTCCTTATCAGGCTATTGCCCTGACTTGAACTTTTCTAAATCTAAAGTTCCGTGGGCAGAGACAGTATTTGTCTTTTTCTTCTAAGGCTAAAGAACTGTAACCAAGTGATGATTTTCAAGGCTATACAATCTCTTCCTCTCTTCCTCCCTCCCCCGACTAAACAAACAAACAAACAAAAGAAAAATTTGTCACTGACTTGGGTGGGACATGAAGTTGTTCCTACCCTCTCCCTCTCTCCCTGGGTTAAAGATGTCACTACTCAGAGCCCTGCAGAACATTATTGTCAGGATGTGGACTAGGTTCTTGGTGTCCTGGCTCAGGGCCAAGGTGAAGCCCCCAAAGCAGGGCCAACTGTTTAATGTCTCAAGCTTTTCAAGCACTCCTGGCTAGGCAGAGCCAGATAAGAAGTGATGTATCGAAGGCTGCCGGAATCATTTTAGTCAGGTCTCTAGGAAGAGTCCTGCCGGAATCATTTTAGTCAGTGTCTCTAGGAAGAGTCAGTAAGCACGATGGTCTACATCTGTTTTCTTTTTAGGTCCTGGCATTCTTGTGGTGCTTGTAATGACATTCAGATGGTCTTCAGGTACCTGATAGAACTCAGCCTCTGCTCTGCCTCCACATTTTGTACTTCCAAGCCACACTTGGAGGGAAGCATTGCAGCCTGGTTGCCAGGGTAACCGGCACTGTTCTCAGATGACAAGGTTGAGGAAGTCGATGTTTTGCTACTCAGTGATGGCATTGTTATTGCGCAGAAAATATTCACTATGGCTCTTTGGCTCTTTCTCAGTTCCATTGTTATTCCAAAGACTCATCTGAGGCATCTCCCTGCCAAGTCTGGACAAGGTTTTAATAAGCTATTTCACTGTCCATAAACCTTTTGCTCAGACACCAATGAATTTGGTACTCTGCTTCATTTCCAATCCTAAGAGATTTTGTGGTCAAAGTATTTAGCTGCCTATTTCTGGTGGTGATTAAGCAGAGGACTATGTTTATTGACAAAGAAATGAATTCTGCATTAAGGATTGGGTCACTTAACCTTTTTGAATGACAGTCTCCCTTTGTTGTCTAGCTGGCCATTTCTACTGACCTTCCTGCCTCAGCTTCCTAGGGTGTTATAGGCATGGGCCACCACACACAGCTTCATCTCGGATAAGATTTTTGATTTGACTTGTCTATGCAATAGTTAAACAGCACAGAGAAGTGCTTGTCATTGAATAAAGCCACATTTGATAGAGATTCAAAAAAAAAAAAAAAAAAAAAAAAAAAGAATTTAAATAGCAATGCACTCCACATCAGAAACAATAGCATTTCACTGCCTTGTCAGATACGGCTGAGAATTCGCGCTGTCTCACATACTGTGTCAAATATCCCTACTACATATGTGGCTTACCCAAATATCCATCCTAGTGACACCTTTTGTGTGTATGTGCTGACTTTTATCTGGAGGAAAGAAACATTTCTGTGATCATTTTCTTTCTTCCTGTCTTTTCTTCAAGGCTTTATCTCTGGAGGAAGTATGATCCAGCCTGCACTCCCCCTCTCTTTTGAAGGAACAACCTACTCAATCAGCTGCACTCACATTAGGTAGGGTTCCTGGGTCCAGAGTAGGAACTGACTCTTCCCGTAATTGTTTTCACCTTGTTGCACTCTGGTGGTCAAATTGTTCTTACACAAACATACAGGGGGTGCACAGAGAAAAACCCATCAACCTTCGATAGAGGAAGCACCAGCCTGGACATGCATTGTTATACAGCAGTTGGTATCATCAGAATTTATAATGCATATAGAACTTGGCTACATTGACAGAACTGCCCCATCATTATTACTTGATCTTCCACCCTGAAAGTAGACGAAACAGTTATTGTTGCCTCTGTCTTCCACACAATGAAGTGGCGATTCATGGTGACACTCCCGATTTTGCAGAGTTCATTCGAGACTGAGCTGAGATCCAAACCTGGTTATTTGGAGTCCCAGTCTAGTTTGCCACCCTGTTAACAATCCTACTGACACATATGCTTGTAACAGTTGCCTCAGTGACTTGAGAAGGAAAAAAATGGAAGGTTAACAACACTTCAGAGTAACTGAAAAACTACTTCTGTGGATTCTGTCAATGTATTGGCTACTATGTTGCATGGTGAATACAGAGGACAACTGAGTCTCTTTCCCAAATGTGAGCAATATGTACACATCTCTGCAGTATCTCACCTAGGCAAAGTACCTTATGTTCCACACACCTTACTCTGAATAGATGCTGCTGGACACTAGAACTTCACAGCTTCCATCCTTACAAAACAGAGAAAAGCCCTCAGGTCTCAGTCAACTTAGCAAGTGCCCTTCTTAGACAGATGCTTTCTTGTTATAGCAGGGATTCAGGCTAAGTCCATGACACTTACTAGGAATGTTGAGCTGTGCATGCGCGCATACACACACACACACACACATACAATATATATATATATATATATATATATATATATATATATATATATCCCCATAGACAGGGATTAGATGTAGATAATAGATAATCCATATCTATTCACAAAACCATTGTGAACTGTATTTTTCTGAATCTGGAATGTCAATTTTCCCATTTCCTCTGTCCTATTGATACCAAACATGCTCTGAAGTTTATGTCAGGGAAGTGAGTATGTGACACATCTGAGGGTTATAATCAAGATTCAAGTTGCTGCCAGTGGAACCGGTGTTACAGATGACCCCACCATAGCCAGGGCCTTAAGATCAGGGAAAAGGAGAAAGTGGAAGGAAGTGAAGGGGTGGAAAGCCACATGGCCATATCCATCCTGCTGGGCACTCTCTCCAAGGATCTGTGGGACTCCACATGTTCTGATGGAATTCGTTGGCAAGAAAGCATTATGCTCAGTACAAAAGAGAAGGAGTTAATATTACCAAACGCTAAGGAATTAAACAGAAAACAAGTGCCAAAAGACAACTCATTTAAACTATTGGAAACCCAAAGCCCCAACATTGGAAATTCTCTTTTGCATTCCTATGCCTGCATCTTTGATGCTAAAGTTTTGGAAACTCACCCATGTCTTTGGCACTCTGACTCCAATTGTAGCCTGCTGGCTAGTCTGCTTTGCGGCTGACTTTGTTCAGCTGGAAGGATGCTGGTCTGTCCAGTCTCCTTCTTCTGTCCTTTACTTTTTCTCTCTGAGTATCTTTGTCCTCTCCTCCTGCAATGAAAAGGGCTCTCTGATTGACAGCCAACCCCCTTAAAGAGACAGGCTCGCTTTCCTCCTCCTCTCCTCCTCCCCTTCTCCTCCCCTTGTCCCCACCTCCTTTGGGATACTCCCTTCTTTAAGGGTTCCATCTTCTCTTTCTGCCTTTCACTTCTAATTGTTTCATTTTTTTCTTTCTTTTTTTTTTTCTTTTCTAAAGATTCTCTAAAACTTCGTTGGCGTCTATCTGAAAAGTGAACTGGGGGTGGGAATTAAATGGAGGGATCCTGAAATCCTCCAACTGAGCCTTGGGTCTATCTAATGTGTCATATCTCAGTCTGAGCATACTGAAGTCATATGAAACGGTAACCCTGATGAGGGGGTCTGGATCAAAAACGTACATGCTATGCTACCAAATATGCACCAGATAACCCTCACTCCTAGCTGCCCTTGACCCTAGAACCTTTCCCCTTCCTGTTTGTTAGCAAAAATCATTCTTCCTCCTCCTCCTCCTAGAATTATAATAATTATATAGTTAGATAAGGGAGACTCACAGGAGAGGTCAAAATTTGTGCCAAGTTCATAGTAAGAAAAGGGCCAGAGTAGAAGTTATAGGTGATTTCTGAGGAGAATTAACTTTGAGAGAAGACATTATCACAATCTGGGAATCTGTTAGTCAAATTTCTACCCAGGAAATGTACTATTCTCATCTGAACATGAAGACAAGGCATAGAGAAGCAAGGAGTGTAGCAGTCAGGTGTGTGTGTGGGGGGGGATATAGTCCTTGTCTCGGAGGAAATTTTATATAAAAAAAAATGGTCAAGAAGTAAAAACAGGAATATATGTAACACCTATACTAGAAAGAATGATTTCTGAAATCTGTGAAGGGACCTGAGTACCAAATATAAGTGGTGATGTTAGCTAGGGAAAGTTTTCTATAACTTTCTAGAACAGGTGAACCTTAAGGGATGGTGTGGTGGTCTTTGTCAATCTTCTCTCTCAGTTCAGCAGTCCCAGGCAGTCATAACTCTACTGATTTAGAAGCAAGAGTCTACTGAATGGACCTAAGGCAATTCATTGGTCTATAACAAGAGCAGCGACTGTCATCTCTATACTCCTCAGAAATAAGGTTATTGAAATGAGAGACAATGCGGGGGAGAGGCAAACAGAACCTAAAATTTTCTGTGGAGGAAGAGAACAAATATTGTGTATTTTGAACTTCTTTTGTGGTTATGCTTTTCCACATTTCTGCCTGGTTATAGTAGAGTCCAGAACCGTATAGTATACAACACTAGCTCTAGACTAAATCTTTTGCTCCTATACAAGTCCCTTGTATATGCCTCTTGCAGAACACTAAAGTTATTATTTCCCAGAGCAGACTAAGGCCATGACTGATTGCTAAGGGTCTTAAGTCCGTGTCTTCCCATGCATGCCCTCCAGACATAGACTGTGCCTGCTGTGGAAGTGCAGTTGTAGGATAATCCTTATATTAATGGTTCTGGAGGAGAGGGATGATGGCAAAAAGAAAAGACCCTAAACTTTGCACATTCTGATGCTGGGCAGGAGAAAAAAGATCCTCCACAGCCCAAACAGCGAAGGCAGATCTGTGTACAGGGAAAATTGCTCAAACTGAGTGCTCTTATACACCTTTATACATTATTAGCAGAGTCTCTGGGACTATACTATTCAGAAAAAAATAAGTCCCCAGTAAACTTACAGATACCAATTTATCTAACATCTTCCTGTGAGGCTCCTTTTCTCTACTGTCTTACAAGTTATTGCATCTCTGGTATTTTTCTTGTCCCTTCCTCTCTACCTCCTCCCCTCCTTCTCTCCTCATTGATGGGGCAAATCTTCCTGTTTCTGCCTTGCTCTTATGCCAATTGCTTAGGAAAGGCACTCAGCCAGGTGATTATGTCACACTCTCCCCAGTGCCCTGAGGTTCCATATCCCTTAGATCTAGTATGTTGTATGTAGTAGCTCTGTTCATCTGACAGTCTGCCTGGACACTCCCTCTGCTGCCATGTTCTAAGTACCCCCTACAATCCCTAAAGGTCTTAAAGAAGCTCCCAGCCCCATAAATTCCATCCACCCTACCCATTTCTGTGATTCTGCTTTTACTGGGTCTCCTAAGTGAGCTGAACAAAATGTTCTCCATTCCAGCCTGGCTTCTGCAATGCCCCCAAATTTCCTCCAGAGGGCACCATCAGCCTTCATGCTAGCAGTCCATGGCATGCCTTGGGGACCTGTAAGGGAGAACAAAGCAGGATTGTGTTAAAACTTGTAAACACTGTGCTTCATGCAGTTCTTGTAGTACCACCAGGGAATCAGGCCATCCTTGATCATAGCTCAGTTTAGCTGTGCAACTGTCTTCAATTAACTATAAAATATTTGGATATTCCATCTGTTCTTTCCCCTATCATGCCATAGTACCAGATTCTTGAAGGACAGAATGCAAATTTTCTTTGCCCCACTGAGGTAGAGCATTCAGAGAAGCCCAGTGGCTTTTCCCCCGAAACTAGATAAGTACACAGTGCCTAATCTAGTGGTACACTTCTCCAGGTCCACTTAGAAGGTGGAAAAGGAACCAGAAGGTACAGTACCAGTGAGTTCCTGAACACAAATGGTGGCATTTGAGAATCTAGAGTTGAGGCTTTTCTTGTCCTACCCAAGACCATGTCATGATAGGTCAAATTTGGAAGGTGGGTGGCTACTTTTTACAGGCCTTTTTTTCCAGTCCTGGCACAGAAGACTGGCAGAATGGCAGGCAATTTTTCAAGTCCTGTGTATTTGTAGATAGTACTTTCCACACCCAACTTTGTGCCGGTTGGTTTGGCCATGTCTTTCTGGGCAAGAAAACTAAGAGCTAAGGGCCAGAGATGTCACATAATTTGATCATGCAGGATTTGGGGGGGGGGGGTTGTGGAGGGTGCTGCTCTTTTTCTGGTAATTCAAAGAGCAATGCAAAGATGGACAGGAGGCACTGGTGAATTGTGTGTGTGTTTATACGGGAAAGATGCTAATAACTTAGGATAGAATAAAGAGAACGACTTAGAAGTCAAGTATTCAGATAAATAAAGCCAGAAAGATACCACCCAAAGAATGCCAAATAGCCAGTATCAGTGTATAAAAATCAGCTGTCCACATAACCCATTTAGAATCCTAAAAACGGCCATCTTTAGTAGGGCGGCCCCTATAGAGAAGATGCATATGCATAAATTCAAAAAGCAACAGAATTAAAATTACTTTTGTGGTTATCAATAGTCACCTGACTCTAAGGAACACATTTTTCCCCCATTTGAGTAATGGAGGACATAGAAGCAGCATTCCCAGAGCCACTAATAGGCAAAAGACAAAACTACCTTTAGAAGACACCTCTATCCAGGTTCACTGCTTGGGACTTGCTAGGACAATTGTTCTGCTCTGAAAGAATGTTTGAATACAGAGCCTCTTTCCTGAACAAGAACAGCCGGGGGGATGGGTGGGCTTCTGACTGCTAAGGCCCATGTTTCTAATCCTTCACACTCCTCAAAGCAAAGTAAAAAGTGAATGTTCAAAATGCAGTGGTTGTTATATATGTTGTTGGATTTGGAAGAAGTGGGATTCAGAAGAGACCACATGACAGGAAAGACTGTTGGTGTGCTTGCTAGGTATGATCACAACACCAGGACTGACAGTGAGTATGTGTGATGCTGGAGATCCAACTCAGGGCCTCAGCATTCCAGGAAAACACTACTAAGTTGCATCCTTAGCCTCAGAAATGCCTTTTAGTCTTTACTTTAGATATCTTCATGGCAAAATGTCACAATCCTTGAGCTTTGCCCACTCTAAAAAAATATGCAGTAGCAAGATTCAATGAAATAACATCAGCCAAATTGTGATAATTGTTACAACTGCATGAAAACATGGAGGTTCATCTTATCTTTTCTTTACTTTGTGTATGACTAAAATAAATCAGAAAAAGAAGCATCATTACAGTTAAAGTTCGGACTAAGCCAGAAACAAAAAGGAAAACATTCCCAATAGAGATGTCTATTTTGGGAAGGGTGCACCTAGCCTGGAGAAAGGGGTAGAAATCTGGAGCTTAAGAGAAGCTTTTTTATTCTATTCCCTTAGCATGGCTGTAGTTGATAACTATGTGCATTTCAGGCCTACTTTATTGAAACTTTCATCTGAAAACTCCTTCAGACATCAGTCCATAGGTCATTCAGGTCACTTCCTCTGATTTCAGGTGGACATTAGCATAGTGGTTAGGCTGGCCCTCCACTGTCCCAGTTCACATTCACCCTGCCTACACCCTTCTACCTGCCATATTCGGATACACAGCTTATGAGGATGCTACAGCGAGTGGGAGCCCCCAGGAAACCCTCTTGGGGCACAGCTGGTTAGGGGAGGAGTGGCTGTCCCAGCTCTGCTTTCTGCAGGAAAAAAAAATGTGCCCATTCTAAGAAGTCTTTCACCCAGGAGATAGTCTGCCAGAGGCACAAAGCCTTTCTGCCTCCCTACGGGTTCCGCCAGCACTGAAGACTGCATCTGTCCCTGGAGGGACCTGCTCTAGCAGCTGCACAGACCTCTTTTTGAGCCACAGCCCTGAGCAGTCTTTACTGAGATGAGTCAACACCTTCTGGTACTAAAAAAGCAATAATAAAATTTGCTGGGCATTTTAGAAAGGAACATGACCAAGCGTATGGCTCCATAGCCAGCTGAAGGGTCCCCTGAGCTGTGACACTACAACTTAAAAGTTAGGGCGTTGCAGAGCAGATTGTCTAACCTTGAAGCTAATGTACCTTTCCTGGGAAACTAGGACAATGGCCAAAATGAAGAAACAGGGGAAGACTTAGTCCTCCCTGCTGAGAGCTAAATGCCTCAGGTAAGTGCATGCCGTGTTGCTGGAGCTTAGGGCAAGTGGGCCCCCACAGAGAGTCCTTGCTTTCCTATCTCCCTCTCTTGCCCCAGCAAAGCCAAGCCCCAGCAGCTGCTCTGCGCAGAAGCCTGGGCCTAAGTGACAGCCTAGAAACTGGTACAGAAAAAGATAAGAACTCATCTGTGTCCAGGTAGGATGGAGTGGGCTTTTGCCTGTGTTGAGCTCTCCCACTCTCCAACTACTGAAAGGACCCCACTGCTGCTGGGTGAACTCTGTGAAACCAGGAGTAAGATAAAGGGTCCTGGCTCCTGGAGCTGAAGTCACCTCAGGGACCTGCCAAGTTGATGGCCAGTCCCTGAATCCTACCCTAACTTTTGAGGTTGCATGCACCCTGGCCCTCAAGGGAAAATGCTTTCTTTTTAAAGGTGTAATTGTCAAAAACTGCAGAGTCTAAGAAGAGTTGCTCTTGGAGGACCCCCTCCCCCGCAAAGAGGGCCTTACCTGCTCCTTGGGTTACCCTTTAAAATCTTTCAGAATTTTGAAGGCATCACAATCACTTCCACAGACTGAATCCAGCAATTTTTGGTAGGACTTCAAAGAGTACAATGGCAGCAGTCCTGTGCAGCCACTCTTGCATGCCTGAAGCTGAATCGGTAGAAAGACAAGGAAACTCTCACCAGGATGTACTTTTACTGGGTTTGCCAGCATGGCCTGCCCCTAGTATAGTCCACTCAGCACACTGCTTTAGAGATCCCTCTAAGGTCTTAGCCTTAGAAAGAGGCACCACACCTCAGTCTAAAGAAATCCATCTTGGAGTTAGAAGCTGTTCAATCTCAAATTTTCAGAATAGGGACAACAGAGAAATGGCTGGTGGGGGCTTTAGGGGGACTGGATTTTTTCCTGAAAACTGCTCTTGGAGAAACCGACTTTTCTTGGTTTTCTAGCAGTCATCCTCTCTCCATGATAACTGAGCAAAAAGAAAATTCTTTGAATGGTAGTATTCAAGATTTTAGTTAGTCATCATGTGACCATTCACATAGTCCGGAATTTACATGAATATAGAGTTTAGTGATTTAAAGCATAGATCCAGGGGCTGAAGATGGAGCACACTTGTCAAGCATAGTAAAGCCCTTGGTTCAGTACCTGTCACTAGGAACAAGCCAAAGGCCCAGCTTCCTTCCTTGGACACAACCATAGATTTGGTCAGTCAGACCTGCTAGGGCTAGCATATCAGGTCTATGACACTAGGCAATGATTGAGTCTCTGGTGAGAACTGATATGGTTACTAACTTCAGATTTCACAGTTGATTTTCTTTCTATTGGTATTATCATAGAGCACAGGGACAATCAGAATTTATGCAATGAACATGAAATTCTTAGTACATTGCCTCTGCTATGGTACAGAAACAACAGTAATAATAACCAGGTGAAGGGAGTGACACTCTGGAAATGCTTCATAAACAACAAGCAGATGCTGAACTGTAGTGATCTCTGGCACCACTGCCTTTCAGATCTAGGACTTCTAGAGATCCCCCAAACTTGCCTGTCTTTAAAACAACAATTAGGAAATGTGCTTGGTAGAAAGACTGAAATGTGTTAGGACTCACAATCCATTTGTTGCTTTCCAAAGACACCACCCCCTCGATGTTTAAAACCATCACCAGCCAACATTTTTCCAGCAAGAAAAACATGTCACAATGTGAAGGTTTTTCACTGTGAAAACTGGGTACTTCTTCAGGAACCCAAGACAGGTTGATTAGCATTCACCAGTGCTGGAGAACTGTCCAAACTCTACACTTTCAGAGGTATCTCAAGAGTTACCAACTGCAGCAGGGTAACAACTTCACGTGTGCTAAGGCCACTGTATGGGTCAGCCCCAATGTCCCCATCCTTCTCTGAAACATCATGTTCAGACAAAGCAGGGCTACCAGGTTAAATGTACAATGCACAATTTAAGTGGTATTCCAGGTAAATTATTTAATATGTGTGTCCTAAATGCTGGATGGAACATACTCACATTTTTAATAGTCCATCATTTCTCCAAAAATCAAATGTAACTGGGTATCCTTTGATTTGTTAATCTGGCAATCCTACATGTCAGGGAACTCTGCTCGAAATGGCAAGCCAGGCTGGCTTCTGGGGAAGGCACCAGAAAGGCCGCTAAGGGAACCTCCAACAAAAAACACAGTTTCCTGTATACAGTTGTTCTGAATTTGAGTCCCAGTTCCATTCATCTGATTGCTTTTGGCCTCTCAGTCCTACTCTAATCTAGGGAAGCTCTTCCAGGGTAAGATAAGTTGAGATGGGCCCTGAGACAGGCTGCACAATGCTTGAGACTTAGGACTTTGTGGTCAACCAAACTAGGTTCCTAACCCACTCCAGCTTAGGCCATAGCACGGTAAATGGCAATTATTGTGAATAGTTAGAGCCCAACCTTCCTCCCATTTCTCTTTTCTCTCCCCTGCTTGGCTTGTACTTGGCATTTTCTTAGACAGTGAATGAAATGTAGAAAAATGGAATGGTCTGTAGATATAAGACTTGTCAAGAGAGAGCATAGGGCATCATCTGGCAAGTCTATTAGAAACACTTAACCAAATGGGGAGCCAGATACCACTACCTTAGAGGAGCATGCCTCCTGTGCTGGGCCCTATACTAGGTGAATACCTGAGCAGAAGCAAGCCCAGCATTAGCCTGTTCTTTCAATTTCAAATAAAGTTGGCTCAAGTCCCCACCCTGACCCTTGTCAAGAAAGTTTAGTGTCTCCCTTAGCTATTTCCTGGAAATCTTAAAGGCTCAGAATCCTACGTGGTTCAGAATTTGGCCTTGTATTAAACTTCAGATTTCACAACTCATCTTCTACTCATCATTTTCATCATCACCATTATTATTATTATTATTATTATTATTATTATTATTGTCAGATGACAGGAACCATCAGTAATATCATTTTCCCTGATTTATAACTTAAAAAAACATTCATATGAAGGCCTTTGGAACTGGCATATTGTGTCAAGGTTTACATAAATGGAGGAGACAGATTTTATAACAATATAAACAATAAGAAATCGATTACCAGATATGCCATTGTCACTTGGAATTAACTCCAGTGTCTATCTCTGGATGTATTTCTGCTCCTCCATCTTATCTCTCATTTCTTAGTTTTTCTCTGGCTCACCACAAATCCACGTTCACTTTTTCATGAATAGCATCTTAACTCTATGTGTACTATATTCCACTCCTGTTCACCAGATTACCTCTTCCATTATTTTGACAGAGTATCTCGTTTTTTTTTTCAGAGATTGGTCTTGAACTCAAAATCTTTCTGTTTTCAATTCCCCAAGTGCTGCAATCACAGATATGCACTACCCTATCCCGGGAAAGGAATTCCTTAAGCAAAAGCTTAATGAGAGCTGAGGAAATAAGCATGATTTTATTACATTATCCTGGCACAAACTTAATATTGATTCATCAGTATACAAGACAGGCTTGTTATACTTATTTCACACATGAGCAAACGGAAGGTTCTGAAGCAATTCTGGGAGCCTTAAATAGAATTCAACCCTAGGTCTTTCAAGTCTGGTGTTCTTTTCATTATTTAAGGATGTTTCTAGGGAGCAAATATTTCAGAAAGTACTAAATTATTTATTAAAAGCAACTAGAGAAAAAATAAACACACACACACACACATACATACATATCAGAGATGCTAGGTGGAGAGATGCTCTCTGGTAGAAGAATTATTTGGGAGGGAAAGAGTCTATCTGCTGTAGTCTATAGCCTCTTCCTCTGGCTAGCTCCTAGAGCTATCGTTGCAAAACTCTCTGTGAAGAGCACAATCCCACCCCTCCAGAGTCACTAGGTCACAGCATTCCTGAGCTGTTTCATGGAGATGCCACTTTTGTAGTTCTAGGAATCACATTTTTGTACTGTTTGCTAACAAACTTTGTTTCCAGGTCTCCAAGTAGTCTACAGTGGATTTTGCTCGTTTGGGTAATTAACAGAAGACATATAAGCCCTGAGAACTCAAGTGATGCTGCCCATATAGTAAGGGGCAAAGCCAGACTGCTGGTGGGCTGCTTTCATGTGCACGTGTTGCCAATGAACAACAGTCAAAGATCACGAGGACAACACACCTGCAGTTGATAAAGCTGCATTTGTCATTCAATGCGACAAAGGAAAACACCTTATTCTCACCCATTGTTGCACTTCCCTGTAAGGAACAAACAACAAACTCAACTGTGTCAAGCACAAATGTCCTCCTGGTGATCTTTGGCTGGAAGGCATTGATAAAAATGGAGGGTGATCAACAGTCACCTGAACTATTTCTACCTTGGACCCACGTTTTCCTTTCAGTGTTTAAAGTTTAAGAAGGACACTGAGATGGACTGACCTTTTTATTAGAGATTTATTGGAAGAGATGGTAATGCTATAGACAGACAGAAACACGGCAGTGACTCTGAGGAGAGCTCGGGCCTGCATGGTGGAGTAGGAGCCTCTACTAATACTTTTCCCTGGAAGTGGGGTGTGAGGGAAACTGAAGTTTCACTCTGAAATCGGCCATTGCTCGGGTAACCAGTAAGTGCCCAGTTAAAGAACATTAAGTACAAAGTAAGTGTCTTTTTTAGCCATTATAACATAACCCTAGCTAATAATGACCACACCTGAAATTCCTGCTAGCTGCCTCGTTGAGATGAGTCTGTCCACATGTATGGGGGGGTTGGGTCTAAGTTCACACTGAATTGAACTGTGGCGTCTCACTGATGTCACAGTTAACTTCCATGTGGTTAACATTTTCATTTAATATTATTAATATTCAAACATAGTTAAAGCCTTAGGATTATACCTATTTTGCTTATACCTATTGTGCATGTGTAAGTTCATACATACAGGGGTGTAGCAAGTATTCATTTCTTAATTTTTTGATAATATTTTTCATTTACATTTGCAACATGCTTGTTTTACATGTCAGTCCAAGTTCCCTCCCCCTCCCCTCCTCCCCTGTCCTCCTCACCAACCCAATCCCATCCCCTTTCTGCTCTCCAGGGAGGGATTTCTTATAAATTTTAAAGAAATACAGTGCCGAAAGAATAAAATTTCAACCCGTGTCACTTTTATATAAAGTAATTGAATTATTTGATGTCCAGATTATTTTTGGTTCCTTTTGACCTCAAAATGTTCTTCTATCCCTCAGAGCTTTTCCATATATCCTGAAAACTTTTTTTAAAAAGTCTTTACTAGTAAAACAAATATTGATATGCAGCTAGCTACTGTTTATTGCTGGATGAATTTCCAGTGTTGACTATAAGTCTTTCTTAAGGTATATATGTATCTTGTTCCTCATGACTGACTTGATCTCCCTGCAGTGGTTTGAGTGGACAATGTTCCTGATAGGCTCATGGTCTGTGATTGGTGGTACTGTTGGAGACTTCCTTGGTGGAGGAAGAAACATCACTGGAGGTGGCTTTTGATGCTTTATAGCCTCAGCACACTTAGAGTTTGCTCTCACTGCTTTCTGTGTGTGGACAAAAACGTAGCTAGGTACCTTCTGGCTCTTGCCAGCATGCCATCCCTTCTCAACCATTATGGGATGCTAGCCATCTGGAACCATAAGCCAAAA